GGTCAAGAGATCGAGACCATCCTGGTCAACATGGTGAAACCCCGTCTCTACTAAAACTACAAAAAATTAGCTGGGCATGGTGGCGCGTGCCTGTAGTCCCAGCTACTCAGGAGGCTGAGGCAGGAGAATTGCCTGAACCCAGGAGGCGGAGGTTGCGGTGAGCCGAGATCACCCCATTGCACTCCAGCCTGGGTAACGAGCGAAACTCCGTCTCAAAAAAAAAAAAAAAAAAACAAATCATCCTGAGTGAAGCTCTTCTCAGATGCAAAGTGAAGACTAAATAGAAAAAAACAGAATCCTTGTTAGGAAAGAGCAGAGAACTGTGCTAAGCTGAAGGTACCAGCAGCAGGAGAAATACTCTTGAGCTCAGCGAAGTTTTGATGAGTGGGAAAGGGAACACAAACTTACAGGCACATATCTTAATTCTGGGATGGAAAAGGATCAGATTCAAAGGTAAGGTCACAAACTGGACTCTGAAGGCACATCCAATCAATGAAACAGGAGAGTTAAAATAGGGATCCTGGAACAGAGATTCTTGGTAACCCAGAAGTTTGCAATAGTGGGTCTGGATTGTGGCTTTTGGAGTTTCTCTTGAGTCATGGAGTTACCATGCATTCTATCCCTGCGTGACTATATTGTTAATTGCCAGCTCATGGCACAATGCCTGGGAAATTGGAGGCTGTCAATATACAGTAGTTGAACAAATGCAAATTTAGCCGATTGGTAAAGTGTCCTGTGGGAGGAGTGACTGAGCCAAGTAATTACTTTTGTCCCTTCCAGACTTATAATTCCAGAATTCTTAAAAATTATACCTCTGTTCTGAACCCAAGAACTAAATTCTTAATAGGTTTTTAGCTCATCTCGAAAGATGTTCAAAAATGTAGTAACAAATTTGAGGAGAAAACAAGAATAAAGATAAGTAGAAATCAGTAATCTTTGCAGGCTTAGGTTTGGCGACTGCCAGACATTGATAAAAGAACAATTAAATAAGGAATCTACAAATAGAAGGTGGGGAATGGGCATGTAATAATAAAACCTGAACGTGAATAGATCTGAGCTCACCTTATTTTTCCCCTTACTGTATAAAGGAGGAGACCTAGTCCACAGAGCTTTAACTTTCACAAATCCTCACAGAAGACGTACAAACCTGAGGTTAGGGTGTAATTCATCCAGATCTCTTCCTGCTGTTTTTATAAACACTAATGTGCTAAAACATGTTAAAATATAAAATATGTGTTTAAAATTTTACTGTGCACACATGTATATAGACTTTCCCTGAGATTTTAAATGACTTTAATTACTGTCTTTCCACAGGAAGTTTGTCTCGCTCATATAACTTACCAAACCTCCAAATATTTTTCCCAAGATAGAAGTGGCTGTCTTTTCTGTCCTCCCACCAATTTTCTCAGCTGTCTTCTCCTCTCTCTCAGCCCACTTACAGAAATACAAAGGAGCTTTTCTCAAAGGCAAGTGGCCCAACAGTTTCTAGGCAAAGATGCCAATGAAAATGTTATCAAAAACTTAAAATGAGAGGTAAAATAAAACCAAGGTTTTACAGGTCATCTGCCTAATTGTTTTTGAGTCATGATTTCTTTTAGATCCTATGTGGAGACCTGCTCTTTTCATCAACGTCTGTGTACACATGTGCCCATGTGAGGCCAAGATGGACAGGAAAGAGACAATTCTACTGAGAATTCTATTTATAGAGAAAGAAACATAATCCCATAAATATTGATGCCAGAGAAACAGTGCAGAGTTCAACTGTGCCTAAGATTAGATTGTTGCCAAGAATGCTGGAAAGTGTAGGTGTGAGCAGTTTCAAGTAAGCCCGCTGTTGATAAGGAGACAGCTGTTGGCATAAATAAATGATATTTGGAGTCTGTCAGTATATAACTGAAAGAATAGGGAGACGACAGCCAGCCCTTTCCAGAGGCATAATAGCAAGTTCTAATGATTGTTCCCTGTAAACTGAAGGACAGGGAATGAATTCACTGAAGGACAGGGAATGAATTCACTGAATGAATTCAAGGAAGTGCAGAGGGAGGGTCCCACCATAGCTGAGCCTTCCCACAGAAGCTGGTGCCCACACAGCTGAAGGTCAGCCATTGCTGGCCCCAGCAGCCACAGTGCAAGGTGTGATGGAAACACGTCGTGCTTTAATGACAACGACGGCTCCTCATCTGTGGCAAGGACACAAGGATTCTGAGAATTTCTAAATAATCAGGACCATTCCAGCTTGGAAGGGAAGCAATGAAAATACCACGGGGTTTATGTTTACTAAAGGCGAAGTTCAGTGGGATTTATGATGACCCCGCACACACATGCAAAGCAATTCCTGATATCCTTGCTGCTGTGGACGCTTCTTTGAGTCAGATAATTCAATTACTGTAAAATGTACTTTTATTGCTTTGAAGCTAGGATCCCTCCATTTCCAGAGCGGTGGCCGTCAGTTAACCCAACTGCACTTTTTCTTTTCTGTTAAGTGAATTTGACTCAGAATTAAAGTCAGATTCTGACACAATCCAGCAAGTAACTATAAAAAATGACAGTAAGATTGAAATACTAGGCACTACTCCAGGTACTTTACTTGCAAATTGCTCCTTTAATTCTCTTAAGAGCCAGCAAATTAAATACTATTTTGCCCATATTCTTGATGAGTAAACCAAAGTATAGAAAACCTAAGACAATTCCAAAGGGCACCCAGCTGACTAATGTCAAAGCTGGGAACGGACTCTGCCTAGTGCAGCTACAGAGCCCATTTTCACCCATGTGCCTTGAGATTTCATATTTTCCTACCTTTGACTAGTTGTCAAATATAGGATGTCCAGTTACATTTGAATTTCAGATAAGAGACAAATAATTTTAGACAACAAGTAATGTTGCAAATATTGCACAGGGCATACATAACTAGAAAAAATCCATTGTTTATTTGAAATTCAGAAGTTTGGGGGTATCTTGTATTTTTACTTCCTAAATCTTTCAACGGTATCCCAGAGGTAGCTATACGCACCAAGGAAGCAAAGAACATAATTTTTATTTGTTTGAGCTTTGGTTTCAAATCCCAGAGTAGAACTCCCATTACAGGACTAGGCTAGGTGGCGAAATTTTTAATTTTTAATTTTTTTAAGGAGGAGGGGGCAGAGTGGAAGCCACAGGTGCCACAACCTCTCACTCAGCCTATTCCCCCTGGAGAAAATTTTTTCCTATTCTTAAAACAGTCTAGAATAACAGCTCTCAAACCTGCCTGGATGTGAGCATTACTTGTTTACTTTAATAATACATATGGGCTGGACTGGCATGGTGATTTATGCCTGTAATCCCACTTTGGAAGCTGATGTGGGAGAACTGCTTAAGCCCAGGAGTTTAAGACCAGCTTGGGCAATATAGTGAAACCTTGTCTCTACAAAAAATTTAAAAGAATTGGCAGGCATGGTTGTGTGTACCTATAGTCTCACCTACTTGGGATGCTGAGGTTCAGGGATCACTTGTGCCTAGGAGGTCAAGGCTGCAGTGAGCCATGATTACACCACTGCACTTCCAGCCTGGGTGACAGAGCAAGAACCTGTCTCAATAATAATAATTATTATTGTAATAATAAAATATGTAGCTTGGCCTGACCTGTCCAAGATTTAGTTAGGTTTAGGGTGAGATGAGGACAACCACATTTTCTAATGAGCTCCTAGATGTTTCCATCTTTCCTTCTCTTCCTTCCTTTCCTCATTGGTCTGAAACTCTGACTGTAAGTTAGAGTTTACCATTTGTAGCAAGTCCAAGGATGCCAGAATATACTTCTAGGGTGGGAGAGGAGGGAATAAAGAGGTGAGGTCTATGAGAGAGGGCTTTCCCACAATACCCAGAGCTATCCTCAGGCCTTCTCAAGCTGGCTTTACAGTCCCAGGCCAGGACTACACATACAAGAAAGATTTTTCGAAGTGACAGAGGGGGTGAAAGAAACAGTGAGCGAGTGAGCAAGAGAGCTGTATGTGGGCCAGGTCTCCCATTTTGGGCCAGGCTCTGGTACAAAGAGTGAGAATGGATCACACCACAGGCACCAAGACTGTCTCACATTTGAAAGCTCCAGCAGTATAAACTGTGGCCTAAATAGTTCCCGGGAATTCAAATTTAAAAAGTCTTCCCTGGAAGTGAAGAAGAAGTGGCTGGGCACAGTGAGTGGCTCATGCCTGTAATCCCAGCACTTTGAGAGGCCGAGGCAGGTGGACCATTTTAGGTAAAAACTTCGAGACCAGCCTGACCAATATGACTAAATCCTATTTCAACTAAAAATACAAAAATTAGCCAGGTGTTATGATAGGCACCTGTAATCCCAGCTACTCAGGAGGCTGAGACAGGAGAATCGCTTGAATCTGGAAAGTGGAGTTTGCAGTGAGCTGAGATTGTGTCACTGCACTCCAGCCTGGGCAACAGAGTGAGACTCCATCTCAAAAAAAAAAAAAAAAAAAGATTGTACTTCATAAGGGTATTGCAAAATCAGTTTAATAAAATATAACAATTTACTAATAAAAGTAAAATATATAAAATAGAAACAAGTAGAAAATATCCAAGGTACACACACACAGACACATATATGGCATATATTATTCATGTTATAACATATCTTTCTTTCTATGGGATCTTGTCAAAAAAGTTTGGAAAATGTTGCTCTAGAGACAAATATTCATCACTTTTAGAAAGCAGAAATCTCAGGCAGGAAGGAATACAACTCAGAGCAGATAAGCTGTGGGAAACAATACCCTAAAGAATAACCTGGAGCCCAAGCTGCTGCCAAAGAAGTTTAAAGCAGTAGATTTACAAGGAATCTTTGGCAAATAGGAAGGTGGGGCATAAGAGGACCATTCATCCAAGAGGAGAAGGTTAATTCAGAAGCTGTAACATGTCACATTGCCTGTTTTTCATGCTGCCCTAGAAAAGGTCTCTGCTGAAACATAGGCCACCTCTATGGTAGTTCTTCCCTGTCTCTAATGGCCTTTCTCTGCTTTTAGATCAGAGGGCAGTGTGGGGCAGCAGTGGAGAGATGGCAGCATTTGTATGAAGTTTAAGCACACCCAGGAAGCAAGGTAAGGGCTGGATGGAGAGCCCAACTCTGCGTACTCTGGATTGCTAAGCAAGGACACTTATTCCAACGGAGGACTTTTGAGTTCGAGTATCAAACTTTTTCATCTTTTCCCATGAGATATAAAAGAAACATTGAGAGGTCAGAAGGAAGCATTCCTTTAAGTTCTATCAATGCTGTGCAGTAAAACTTAGCAATGATGTGAGTGTTCTGTGTTGAGCTACCCAATATGGTAGCCACTAGCCACATGTGGCTCCTGAACACTGGAAATGTGATCAATGAGACTCAGCAGCTAATTTTTAAATTTAATTTAATTCTAACTAAAATTAAAACTTAGATAGCCACACATGGCTAGTGGCTACTGTATTAGACAGAACAATTCTAACATTTTGTGATTTTTGATGCAAAATAACCTGGGTATAAGTGATTAGTCTTGTGACCAGGTCTATGTACTGAGTTTTGTCTAAATTATTTGAGATAACCATAAACTTGAGGACAACATTTTGCTAATTATATCTACTATAAAAAAAGGAAATTTGCTGGATTGATTCATTATTATTTTTATGCTTAAACATTCAAATTATATCCTGGTGTTAATTGTTTCAAGAGTCTTTGATTATTGTAATGTTTTTCTTTCCTGAAATGAAAAGGGAACCTCAGTGAAATATAAAAGACTGGTATTAAATGCACCTAGTTGCAATGTTAAGCAAGAGAAGGATTTTAAAAAGCCTCGGTTTAGTCAGATATTATCACCCGGAAGAGAGCTCTAGAGCACTTTTCTAGTAAGTTTGTAAAGATGGAAATTTACTACATCTGCAATGGGAGCGGAAGTCATGACGTCACAGGTTCCATGAAGTGGAGACATCATCAACACCCAGGAGGGTTCGGATCAGCTCAGTGAGGCCCTACCACTGTGTGCGTTTTTACATTTTGGCTTGAATTTCTTGTTTTTGTGCCTCTACCTTACCTGGTACCCTGCTCATTTAGTCACAGACTATGCACTCAACTGCTGCTGTTCAGTCCGGGGAAAATGAGAGGTGGCGTGCTGTGGCTCATGTCTTTCTTCACCTTCACTGATGGCCACGGTGGCTTCCTGGGGGTGAGTTGGTGCTATGTCTCATATCTCTTCTCAGCTATCTGTCTCATTCTGGCACTTTTAGAATCCCTCACTCTCTAGGGGACTGCAATTGCATAATTTAATGGACTTGAGATCAGAAGTCCTGAGTTCTCGTTTCAATGTTGCCAACATTCACTGTGTGGCCTTGGATAAGTAAGTCATTTCATCTCTTTGGAGCTTAGATGATCAAACTGCAAAAGGAGGATCTTTGATTCAACTATCTTAGAGACCTTTTCCAATTCAACACATTCTCTACTATGGCTTCTTGGAAGTAGAGAAATCACATGATGGGCATTAGCAATCCTTAGACACTCTTTTCCCTGTCTACACTTGCTTTCTTGATGCGTTCATCTAGGACCATGGTTTTAGTATTCTCTACATGCCAATGACTCCCAGCTGTATAGTTCCATCTCAGACCTCTCCCCTGTACTCCACACTCACATATCCATTACCTATATGTTATTTCCAGCCAGGCACCCAACAGGCCTCTGAACTTCATTTATCCAAAATCAAACCCACTCCTTCTTGCCTATCTCAGTAAGTGGTATCACCATCTTTCCAGCTACTTAGGCAAAACAACAAAAACAAAAACAAAAAACCTTAAGAATCATGCTTGACTCTTCTCACATTCCATATCTAAACCATGGCATTACTTTTCAAGTTTTACCTTTAAAACATATCCAGAATTCAAAAACGTCTCACTACTTCTGTGGCTGCTACGTTGATTCACACCTTCATCGTCTCTTGCCTGCATTATTTCAACCTCTGAAATGCACTCATTGCTTCTGTGCTTGTCTGCTTTCAGCAGGGCTTCTGGACTGAGCCTACTACAGAGTAAGTTACAGCATGTCTTTTCCCATTCAAAGTTTTCCAGCAGTTTCTCATCTCACTCAAGGAAGAGGTAAAACCCTTTCCATGGCCTGTAAAGGTCTGCACAACCTGCCTGCCCAGAAATCCTCTGCCCTCACCTCCTGTGACTCTTCTATTACTCTCCTCTCTCAGGGGCTCTGGTGTCCTCAATCTCCCTGCACCTGCCAGGCACATTCTTACCCTTCAGGTGTTTGCTCAAAAGTTGCTACAGCAAGGCCTCCCCGGCTACCTTTCTACCATCCCTGGCTTGGATTTTAGATTCATGATTTTAATTATTTTGGGAAACTCAGCAATGTCTTATGAAGCACAACTCTTCAAAGCCTCACCATAATTAATTTTTTTTTCTTTTGAACAGAGAAATGATGGCATCAAATCAAAAAGAGAACTCCTTGTGAATCAGAAAAACCATCTAGGTGAGGCTCTGTTAGACAGCATGGTGCAGTGGACTTTGGTGTCAAGGGACCAGGGTTCTAATCCCAGCGGTGCCTCTGACTGGTTATATGATCTTAGGCACATTATTAAACATCCAAATACGTACAAGGAGAATGACAGTAATTCCTACGAGCAAAACATTTGTGAAGATTAAATAATATCATCAGAGCATAGTGTCTTACAAGAAACCTGGCAAGTAGCTGTTCACATATGTCCTTTTCTTCTGTGCCTTGATTCTAACACTGTAATTAATGGCCATAGCCCCAGTCTAATAATGAGTTGCATTCTGAAATTTAATTTGTGGATCTGATGTTTCTAGTGCTGAACACATTTCTTCATAGGAACGGTGATGTACGTGTGGTTGTTAGGTTCCTGGGTCAGTCTACAGTGGTTTTTCTACCATGCAATAAATCCACCATACAGCAATGTGCTAATAGTACTGTAGCATCTATCACTGTGCAAGGCGACACTTCTTTAGGAAAATTAAATCAAAATTTCAACTTGGAATGACATGAATTCAACTTCCCTGACAGTAAAAATAACAATAAAAATATAGCAAGTATTGTTGGGCTGATACTATGTGCCAGGACTATTTGAAGTGCATTAGATGAATTAAAACCTCGCATTGACCCTCTGAGTTAGGTACAGTGGTCATCTTTATTTTACAGATAGTAAAACTAAGGCACAGAGCTAGGGGAAGGAGCCAGGATCCAAATCCAGTCAATCTGGCTCCAGAACCAGTGCCATTAACCCCTGACGGTGTGAGCAGGGCCACCCTTTTCCCTGTTTCTCATTGCTCACCTGCTTGGACAGTAGGAGTGGGCCTCACCTCAGCTCCCACCACTCAGAGGGGACTTCCAACACCTGGGGAAGGGGATGCAGTCCAAAAGGAGATGGGGAGAGTAAGAGATGGGACTGGGGTGCAATGGTGTGAGACGGGTCTTTCATAGATGAGCTTCAGGGGACTTTGAAGCCCGTGGTAATTTTATGCCACATTTTATGTGAATGGGCTTACAAAAATTTTGTGTGGGAGAAGACTCATAGGATTCCTCTCCTTTCTATGTCAAAACCAGTTAACGCCTTCTCTATGGGGAAAGGAAAGGTGCTGTCCAGAAATGATGAGCTGGAGGTGAGGGTGCATAAAGCCTCAAGGGAAAGTTTAGTTTTGCTTTTGGATTTCATATAAATATCCAAACTCAGCTAATGAATGGACTATTTTCACAGGAGGAGAAAGGGCTCTTTGTAAGTGTGAGATTGAGGGTCTTATATTGAAGGTACTTCAAGGAGATCAGAGCTGGGGGCGGAAGAGGGAAGGTTGACTTGGACTTCCTCACCTCTTCCCTCTTCAGTCTTGACACCTGAAGCTTGACTTTGGATGTGCCCTAAGGAAGTGTGTAATATTGACAGAGTGATTCTGGGAAGGGAGAGATAGCACTGGAGCAGCCGGCCTGGCAGAAGTGAGAGGACAGACGTATATTTGGCATGTGTGGGAACCGTCTGCTTGTGTTAATTCTGGGTGTTCGTTTTTAGTTCACGTTTGGATGAGAGGAACTCAATGATGAGCAGCATGCTGGAGTCCCTGACCTCCAGGCTGAATTTCATGATTCTTTCTCAGTCAATTCCCAAGCAATGTTTTCCCCACTGACAGATAAAGGTTTCTGACTCTCTTTCCCTCTTCAGGCCCAATCCAAGAATATGAGCTGCTGCTTCAGGTGACCTATGGAGATTCCGAGAAGAAGAGAGATTTGAGGAATTTTCTGACGCTCTTGAAACCTCCATTATTATGGTCACACGGGCAAGTGAAGATTATCAGAGCAAAGGCTACCACATGTAAGGCGGCTCTCTGGTAACTGGACATGTAAATGGGGAAGGCGAGTGTATCAGTCAGGCTAGGCTGAGTTATGCTGTAGAAACAATCATCCCTGCAATCTCTGTGACTTAAAAGAATAAACGCTTTATTTCTATTTCATGGTACATGTCCATGGAACGTTGTCAGAGGGCTGTATCTGTTGCCACCAGTATCCAGAGTAATGTATCAGACCTTATCATTTCATATGCACCCATGCAGAGTCAAAAATAAGTGGAACACTGGAGAGTTTATAGGCAATTAAATTCTTTAACTCAGAAGTGACCACAGTAATTCTGCCCACAACTTATAGGCTAGAACTGGTTCCATGGCCCCATTCAACTTCAGGGGGCCAGAATATGCAATCCTGTGTATCTGGAAGAGAGCAAGAAATATTTGGCAAACAGCACTAATAAGCACAAAGGTGGGGTTCAGAGAAGTTGAATTATTGGTCTAAAGCAATGGTTCTTAAAGTGTGGTGGTCAGGTCAGCAGCAGCAGCAGCATTAGGGAACTCAGCAAAAATGCAAATTCTTCATCCATCTTGACTTACAAGATCAAAAACTCCAGGGTGAGACCTTCCAGGTGATTCTGTTGCATGACAAAGCTTGAGAACCATACACCGCACACCATGCACATTTTCACAAAGGAGTCTGGTGACTTTGCCCTGTTTTTTAATCTACTGAATAAAAAATGACTTTGGTGGGAATTTCAGGTATGACAGAAGGAGACAGGCATACAGGATTGCTGGCTGATGAAACTTTTCAACATGGCGCTCCCCAAAAATGTTTCTCTGCCTTTGTCATCTTGCTTAGAAGGCCTACCTGGGAGTGGTGGCAGATGGGTAGAAAGGAGCCTTCAATGAGATGGTTGTTAACTACTCCCTAGAATCCTTTAACTTTCCTTTTACAAATGTTCTCTTCTGCTTCTCTCTTCTATTGCAGTGGATATGTATGGGGAATACATCTTTCTTTTGCATGCTAACATCAGCCATTTTAGCTTCATGTTTGTTAGCTTTCTGAGACCAGCATCAGAATTTATCGAGTTGGACATTTCCTTACCTTAAATATATTGCTTCTGGCTTTTGGTGAGGAATATTACAATCATTTTACTTTTAATGGCAAAAACCCAATCACTTTTATAGCAACCAAATACTTGGTCCAGATTCCATGTCAGAGCCAAGGATCAGAAATCACTACTCAGGGTCGGGTGCTCTGGCTCACGTCTATAATCCCAGCATTTTGGGAGACTCAGGTGGGTGGATCACTTGAGCTAAGGAGTTCAAGACCAGCCTGGCCAACATGGCAAAACACTGTCTTTGCTAAAAATACAAAAATTATCCAAGGTGGTGGTGCGCACCTGTAATCCCAGCTGTGCTTCAGATGGCTGAGGTACAAAAATCACTTGAACCCTGGAAGCTGAGGTTGCAGTGAGCTGAGATTGTGCCACTGTACTCTAGCCTGGGCAACAAAACAAAACGAAACAAAACAAAATAAAACCTACAGAAGATGTGGGAAGTTAATCTGAAAAATAAACAATAAATATAAAATGAAATCACTGCTCAGAAGCAGTCATTTTATAAACCAGAATTCGTGAGACTGGGTTCTATTTTTTGTGCAGACTGCAACAGCCTGAATGGGTTCCTGCAGTGTACCTGTGAAGACAGCTACACCTGGTTTCCTCCCTCATGCCTCGATCCCCAGAACTGCTACCTTCACACGGCTGGAACATTCCCAAGCTGTGAATGTCATCTCAATAACCTTAGCCAGAGTGTCAACTTCTGCGAGAGAACAAGTAAGCAACTAAGAATGTCCTGGGCTGGGGCTTCTCCCATCCCAACATGGAACAGAGAAGGGGCTCTAGCTCATTGCCTTGCTAGTCAATGTTTGTTTACAGGGAGATTGAAGGACAGCGATGATGTATGATGTTAGGCCTGGCTGGACACAGTGAGAGCTTTCATAGTACAGAAGATACAGAAACACATGTGATATGGGAAGGTCACTTCAACCTTTAGATCCATGCAGCTCAGCTCTGCAATCATATGATTCTATTGAGACTGAGGGAGAGTTGCTAAAAAACCCAAAAGAGGCAATGCTTGGGTAAGCAACATTTGTCTTTCTACCTTCTTCACCTCTTTTGACAACATCACTTTCAAGAAAAGGGAAGTCTAGAGATGTGAATGCAGGAAGGAACACATAGCGAGTGATTCCATTGAAAGAAAAGCTTTCACCATCAACAAATATGTGTACTGAATGCCTTGTTAAAACAAAAGCTAAAAGTCTAGCTTAGGAAACCAGCGGAAGCCAAGGGAGCTATGGTTAACTGAGGTTTGTGTTCAATGAATGATGAGAAGAGCCAAATGACAGGGACTCCAGGGCATGAAGGACTTTAAGAAGCTCCTGCAATGATTACTCTAGTTAACTGGACACCCCAGATATTGGTGTAACTGAGCAAAGAGTGTTGGAGGAGCTTGAAATAGCCCAGCATAATTGGGGATGCTAGCTTCTCTTCCTGGGACTTCAGCAATTCAGGTTATGGCAACACATACTTATTAAGCACCATCTTTACACCCAGATCAGAGGCAAATTCTAGGAGGACACAAAGGCATTTATCTTGCTGCCTATGAATTAGGAGACTACCAGGCTGTAATACAAGAAAGAAAATAATGTAATTTCTTCAACAAATGTTGATGAAAGCCTACCTTTTGAAAGATGGGCACAGTGGCTTACATCTCGCCTGTAATCCTAGCACTTTGCAAGGCTACCGCGGGCTGATTGCTTGAGCTCAGGAGGAGTTCTAGACCAGTTGGGCAAGACAGCAAAAACACATCTTTACAAAACATACAGAAATTAGCTGGGTGTGGTGGTATGCCTATAGTGCCAGCTACTTGGGGGGCTGAGGCAAGAGGATTGCTTGAACCCAAGAGGTCGAGGCTGCAGTAAGCCAAGATCGTGCCACTGCACTTCAGCCTGGGTGGCAAAAGTGAGACTCTGTCTCAAAAAAAAGAAAAAAGAAAAGAAAAGAAAAAGATGGTCCATGTCTAATCCATCTTTGAAAGATTCAAACCTGGATCAGACAAGGATGACACTTACAAGGGGCTTCCCACAGTACTGTGGAGACATGCATAGATGAGATGTACACAAATTGATGTTTAGGTATATGTAAGAGGCTGGGAGGGAGATAGGGCTAAAGTACCATAGGAATTGAGAGGAGAGAAAGACTCTGCATGTGAGGGTCAGAGAAGACCTTGTGGAAGAGATGACATTTGATTAGGTCCTGAATGAATGATGAACAGGATTTTTCCATACAGAGAACTGTCGCAGTGCAGAGAAGCACTGGCAGTGGGTAAGTAAGGAACGCGGAGTTAGCAAGTATTGTTGCTGTTTTTGTCATCGTTTAATTATTGATGGCACAATGCTTAAGCTTATTGCCTAGATGAAGATGCATTTCGGTGTTCAGTGAATGATTTCGTTGGTGATACATGAGAGGCCGCACATTTACCTACTTTTAAGGTTGTCTTAATTACCAGCACTTCCCTATTACTGTTCCAAATCTGCAATTGAAAATTCTGGTTTTATGTATGCTTCCTGTATTATGCTAGGTGAATATTTCTTATGAAAAAAACTTGAAACATTACTCTGAATTGTACTTCTAAAATTGTATGCTACTAATAAAATCAAGTTAGAAATTGATTGTATCTATACACTTCTTTTTATTTCCTATAGAGATTTGGGGCACGTTCAAAATTAATGAAAGGTTTACAAATGACCTTTTGAATTCATCTTCTGCTGTGTACTCCAAATATGCAACTGGAATTGAAATTCAAGTAAGCACTTTCTACTTATTATATAAAGAATTGTTTGCTACACTCAAGTTCAAATGTTTCCAATTCTGCATGTATATTTAATACATATTCTTAATTATTCATTTTCAGTGAGCAACTACAGAGCAGTTATTTGCTCTGCCCACAATTGAAACTCCCTGAGCATCTTCTTTCTAAGAAAGTTTAGCAGCTGACTTCTTTGCACTTCTCTTGTGTTCAGTTTTGCTCGCTTATTTAAGTAATATACTAAGTCTTCTTGATTATTTTCTGTTTTTATTTTTATTTATTTTTTTGTTTTTGAGACAAAGTCTCAGTCTGTCTCCCAGGCTGGAGTGCAGTGGCATGATCTTGGCTCACTGCACCCTCTGCCTCCTCTGTCTCCTGAATTCAAGTGATTCTCCTGCCTCAGCCTCCCAAGTAGCTGGGATTATAGGCAAGTGCTACAAAGCTTGGCTAATTTTTGTATTTTGGTAGAGATGGGGTTTCACCATCTTGGCTAGGCTGGTCTCCAACTCCTGACCTCAGGTGATCCGTCTACCTCGGCCTCCCAAAGTGCTGGAATTACAGGCATGAGCCACTGCACCCAGCTTTGTTTTTATTTTTTATAAAAAATTTTTATGGACTGGGCATGGTGGCTCACATCTGTAATCCCAGTACTTTGGGGGCCAAAGCAGGAAGATCACTTGAGGTCAGGAGTTCGAGACCAGCCTGGCCAGCATGACGAAACCCCATCTCTACCAAAACAAATACAAAAAGTAGCAGGGCATGGTGACATACACCTGTTATCCTGGATACTGGGGTGATGAAGCACAAGAATTGCTTGAACCTAGTGGGTGGAGTTTGTAGTTAGCTGAGATCATGCCACTGCACTCCATCCTGGGGGACAGAGTAAGATTCCACCTCAGAAAATAAAAATAAATAAAATAAATAAATATTCGTGGTCTAAGCTCGATTGTCAGCACGTGGGATTTGTTCTATCAAGAAAACTCTGTTGTTAGAGGCTGAAGAGACTTACTGTGCAAAACTCTCGACTTTATAATAATAAATTCACATGAAAACTAGACCAGTGTCCCTCCACCTAGAATTATGGCTTAGGTGTAGTTCTCACTGAAGACCCAAGCAAATACTTTACAGGTGGATTCAGTCTAAGTACATGTAAAAATTAATGGCTTGTTTTTCATAAGGAAAAAATATATTTTGAGTAAATTTATTCTATGATCTGGCACCAAATTCATCCTCTATTTTAAGCAGTAGGTTAGTCACAATTTATTAGCAATTGCAAATATATATTTTATACACGCATGCATACGGATGTGTGTGTGTGTGTGTATGTATACATTCACAACTGTTATTTTAACTGTATTTGTATGATACGAATTACTTTCCACTGGATCTCTTTTCTTTGCCCGTTTGCTACTGTTGGTTTATTTATTGTCTGTATTCATTTTTTGCTCAAATGTCTTTCTGAAATATGGTAATAATGATTAACACATTGCTCTTTGTTTTCTTTCTAAGCTTAAAAAAGCATACAAAAGAATTCAAGGTTTTGAGTCGGTTCAGGTCACCCAATTTCGGTAAGTAACACAATGGCCTTAGAAGGGCATCCCCAGAATTGGGTGCCAGTTCTGCAGAAGGCAGAGCGCTGTTTTTAGATGACCCTGACAGAAAACAGGGCAGAATTCATCTTTATAGTAGGATTTTTACTAAGTGAACAAGGATCTGTGATGCTTTAAAAAATCTGAAGAGGAAAGCCTAGATTCTCACTTAAATGAGTTTAGGACCTTAAATTTTTTTTTTTTTTTTGAGATGGAGTTTTGCTCTTGTTGCCCAGGCTGGAGTGCAATGGCACAATCCAGGCTTGCTGCAATCTCTGCCTACTAGTTTCAAGAGATTCTCCTGCCTAGCCTCCTGAGTGGCCAGGATTATAGGTGCCCGCCACCACACCCAGCTAATTTTTTTTTTTTTTGTATTTTTAGTAGAGACAGTTTTACAATGTTGGTGAAGGCCTGTCTCAAACTCCTGACCTCAGGTGATCCACCTGCCTCGGTCCGCAAAGTGCTGAGATTACAGGCGTGAGCCACCACACCTGGCCTAGAACCTTAAATATTGAAAAGCCTTCTCAAAACTGTGGGTCAGTGAGATAGAATTACAAAATAATATTAGTACGGCAGAAATCTGGAAGGAAGCAGAAGATCACGGTGCTTGTGCATTGGAAAAAGTGAGGGGTGGGGATAAGGGTTGTGGGTTGTCGAAGGGTGGATTTTCTCCTTCAACAACCACGGGAAACATGTTGCCTCATAATCTGGAGCCAGAAGTGGGGCCTTGGGTGAAATACCTTGCATAGATATTATGTATATATCACAGTTCAAAACCCCATAGTCTTGTCTACAGCAAATAAAGAAATATTTAGTAAATTATCCTTTTGTTTATGCTTTAACTCCAAAACTCGTTTGGTTAGTTAGCCATGTGAACATTCATTACTGACTATTGATAGTCTGTTTGCTAGAGGAAGTGGCTTAGAGGTCAGAGGACTTGACTTGTTATATTTCTTTTCACAGTTAACTTAAAAACACCCATAGGAAATTTTCAGCAGTATATGCTATAAACATATTGTCCTAGGCATTGTCCTTTAAATCATACATGAATAGTTTTTAAAATTCAATACTAGCAAAAACACTACTTCTTCTTCTACTTTTTTTTTTTTTTTTTTTTTGGAGACAGAGTCTCACTCCGTCACCAGGCTGGAGCACAGGGATGCCATCTCGACTCACTGCACCCTCCGCCTCCCGGGTTCAAGCAATTCTCCTGCCTCAGCCTCCCAAGTAGCTGGGACTATAGGCATGCACCACCATGCCAAGCTAATTGTTTTGTTTTTAGTAGAGACTAAAACGGGTTTCACCAGGTTGGCCAGGATGGTCTCGATCTCTTGACCTCGTGATCTGCCCATCTAGGCCTCCCAAAATGCTGGGATTACAGGCATGAGCCACCGTGCCTGGCCTGCTTCATTTTTTATATTGAGGTTTACGTAGTTAATCATACATTCAATATTCATATTTTTATTTTCTGTGATCCTGGTTTTCTATTTATATTTGTAATGTATATTCTATCATGTGTATCTAATAAGCTGTCTCCAATAATTTGTAGATAAAATCACAGTAAAAGTAGGCACAAGTCTATAAACCACAACTTTTAAGGTTTTGCTTTTGTTTGGTTTTGTTCTGTTTTGATATGCGTTCTCACTTTGTTGCCTATGCTGGAGTGCAGTGGTGTGATCTCAGCTCACTGCAGCCTTGACCACCTGGGCTCAAGCAATCCCACCTGTGCCTTCCTGGTATAGGTAGGTAGCTAAGACCACAGGCACACGCCATCATGCTTGGCTAATTAGTTGAGATCTTGTTATGTTTCTCAGGCTTGTCTTAAACTCCTGGGCTTAAGCAGTCTTCCCAACTCAGTCTCCTATAATGCTGGGATTGCTGGCATGAGCCAGCATGCCCAGCCTGAAGTTTTACTTTTTGCATATGTGATTTAAAATAAACCTCTTTTAAAAAATTGATTTAAAAAAATAAAGAAGGGTTTCACCATGTTGGCCAGGCTGGTCTTGAACTCCTGGCCTTAAGTGATCCCCTCACCTTGGCCTCCCTAAGTGCTGGAATTACAGGCATGTACCACAGCACCTAGACTAAAATAAATCTTAATCTCTCACTTTATTTACTTATCTGTCAAACAGGACAGTTATACACCTGTGGAACCTGATTTAATTTCATTAAATCAAATGCAATAATAGGTAGGAAAATCATTTGTAAACAATAGAAGGGACATATCAATGCAAAGATATTGTGACCATCATTACACAAAAGGGTATTTGCACTTATTTACACATTGTGATTAGAAGTTCAATGTGTAAGAATTTGAGCTGCAGAACTTCTGATCAATTAGTAATTAATAATTTTCTGATTCAACTTCTCATTCGGCTTTGCTTCTTTTATCTATAAAATGGAAATGATACACTGCTTATCTCATGGGTTATTGCAGGATTGACTTAATATATGTGATCTCATGTGCTTTCATGGCTTCAAACACATCTGTGTGCTGGTGGATTCTAAGTTTATTACTTGAGCTTGGGCACGCCCCTGAACTCCAGACCCAAATATCCAACTGCCTACTTGACAACTCCACTTTGTTTTCCAGCTGGCATGTCAAATGTCACATGTGCAAACTGGGAGTCCTCCGACTCTCCCCTTCCTAACTTGTTTTTCCCACTGTCTTCCCTATATCCGAATGGCGATGCTATTCTTCCACTTGCAGAGACGCAATCCTTGGAGCCATCCTGTGCTTTAATTTCTTTTATTGAGGTATAACTTGCACACAGTTATGTGCACAAGCTTTGTGCTCAAAACTCAATCAGCTTTGATAAATGCTTGTACCTGTCCCTTCCTATCAAGATAGAACATTCCCATCACCCCAAAATTTCCCTTGGGTTGCTTTCCAGCCTCTTTTCATGCCGTCCCCTCATACCAGAAGCAATTACTGGTCTGATTTCTATTACCACAGGTTAGTTTAGTCTATTCCAGAACTTCACATATATGGAATAATCCAGCATGTAGCTTTTTCAAGTTTGGCTTTTTTCACATAGTATAATATCATTGAGATTCATCCTCATTTTTCTATCAGTGGTTCCTTCCTTCTTGTAGTCCAGTAGTACTCCATTGTAAGAATATACAAAAACTTGTTTTTCCATTCCTTGGAGTTATTATTGGTGGATTTCTTTCTCTCACACCCCAATTTCTTCTCCATTAGTAAGCCCTATGGCTCTGCCTTCAAATAAAACCTAAATCTGACCACATGCACAGCCACCCACCTAGTTCAAACCACCATCAGCTCTTTCCTATCTGGGTTCCCTGTTCCTTGCTGTCCTCCATTCCATCTGTTTTCTACACAGCAGCCCTTGATGGTCTTAAAAAGATAAATCTTTTGATGCTACTGCCTTTCAATAAAGAAGAAAATTTTTGAATACAGAATGAAATCCCAATTCTAATGTCCTATGAGATCTGGCTCCTAGTACCACTCCAATATCATCTCCTACTATTGTTCCCTTGCTGTTGAATTTCAATCATTGTAGTATTTAAGTTTGTGAGAGTCACAGCCATTTTCCTGCCTCAGGACCTTTACCTGTGCTCTATATAAATATATGCATATGTATATAAATGTACATATAACTGTGTATTAAATATATTTATTTAAATAAATATTAAATATATTTATATTTAATATACAAATATATATTTATATATACAGGTAGCCACCAAAAATATGTATTTATAATATATAATAATATATAATATGTAGTATATAAAATAATATATCTGTATATTATATATAAAATAAACATATAAATATAAATATTATATATTTGCCTTGCCTTATCCACTAGAATGTAAACTCTGTTTGGTTTATTCCTATGGACCCAATGCCATGTACACACGGTGTAGGCCCTGAGTGAATGAATGAATAAGTAGTGAACCTCATTTGTCTTTCCCCATAATCACTGCAGAAATGGAAGCATCATTGCTGGATATGAAGTTGTTGGTTCCAGAGATGCATCTGAACTGCTGTCAGCCATTGAAGAGGTTGCCGAGAAGGCTAAGGGAGCCCTTCGCAAGCTGTTCCCATTAGAAGAGAGCTCTTTCAGAGTGTTCAGAAAAGGTAATGCTGGATTCCCATCCTCTGCTTAGGTTAAGGGAGTCCTTTAATTAGTGTTCATTTGTGTCCTCAGGAAGTAGATTTGAGACATTTCAATGAAGACTTGTTCTCTGACTGACTTTCAGTACAAACAGGCAGCTGTCTTCCCCCCACCACACTGAAACTTAACTTCAACCGACTATTTCAAATTCTTGCTAATCGAAGATCTGATCTCTACCTTTTAATGTAAACACTGTGGAGGACTGACTTCACTGTAGGCTGTGATGAAAAGAACTCAGCAATAGTAGAGTGGTAAACATGTTGAAAGAGCCTTGAGGCTGACAATATTCCTAAGTCACAATCTAAGAAATCATGTCTTCAACACTTATAAAGACAGACAGACAGACAGACACACACACACACACACACACAGTTTTTCTTCAGATATTTATCTTTTCCTTTTACATTCAATCTTATCTTTCCTACCAAAATCTGTACCACTCTCTTTCAACAATATTTATTCAATTAATATTTACTGAGAGTCCAAAGTGTCTATACACTTAAAATGCAGCAATAGTGAAAACAAATAAAAATCTTAGCCCTGGCTGGGTATGGTGGCTCATGCCTGTAATCCCAGCATTTTGGGAGTCTGAGGTGGGCAGATCACTTGAGGTCAGGAGTTCAAGATCAGCCTGGCCAATGTGGTAAAATCCCGTCTCTACTAAAAATACAAAAATTAGCCAGGCCTGGGTGCAGTGGCTCATGCCGTAATCCCCGAACTTTGGGAGGCTAAGGCGGGCAGATTGCCTGAGATCAGAAGTTTGAGACCAACCTGGCCAACATGGTGAAACCCCATATCTACTAAAAATACAAAAAAATTAGCCAGGCGTGGTGGCACACACCTGTAATCCCAACTACTCAGTAGGCCGACACAGGGGAATCACTTGAACCCAGAAGGTGGAGGTTGCAGTGAGCTGCGATTGCGCCACCGCACTCCAGCCTGGGTGACAGAGCAAGACTCGGTCTCAAAAATAAAATTAGCCAGGCATGGTGGTGTGCACCTGTAATCCCAGATATTCAGGAGGCTGAGGCAGGAGAATTGCTTGAACCCGAGAGGCAGAGGTTGCAGTGAGCCAAGATCACACCACTGCAGTCTAGCCTGGATGACAAGAGCAAAACTCCACCTCAGAAAAAAACAAAAACAAACAAACAAACAAAGAATCAGAAAGAAAAATCATAGCCCTTGTGGATCTTCCAGTTAATGTCTCCATCTCCTAGTTCCAGTTGTGGTGAGAATGCATTACTAAGGGCCAGCTGCAAGAGTAGCAACTGGTTGCAATGTGAGAAATGCTTAAAGGGGTACAGGTAGGAAGTGCTATCCACCCACAAATAGCGACTTCCCATCTTTTAACCATATCATTACTGCTTTATTCTATAGTGTCTTGAAAATTATCTGGTTTTCTAATATTCCTTTGAAGAGTAAAAATATTTCCTGAGAGTAATAACATCTATCTTTATTACCACCTAATGCTCACTAATTGATAGCCCATTAAAAGTGATATTGTTGGCACAGATCAGACACCTGGAGGGAGGAGTCAGCCTCAGGGAGGGTATGGCATCAAGAATGAGTAAGGAGTGTTGAGAGGGATGCAGCTGGGCATCAAAGACAAATTTATCTTATTTCTGAATTTTGCCTGGATTTTGTCTCCAAAAATAAGGGTTTTAAAATGTTTAAACATGACTACATGGCTTACATAGAGTGCCAGGATATTCTAGGGTCATTTTTCTTTGTTGTTTTCTTTTGTTTCCAGCCCAGTGTAACGACATTGTCTTTGGATTTGGGTCCAAGGATGATGAATATACCCTGCCCTGCAGCAGTGGCTACAGGGGAAACATCACAGGCAGGTGTCAGCCCTCTGGGTGGCAGGTCATCAGGGAGACTTGTGTGCTTCCTCAGCTCGAAGAACTGAAGAAGGTGAGGCATTTTCACTTCGTAGATTTGCCTGGATTTGAGTTTCAGAGTGGCTATCTCCCAGTGAGTATAGCAAGGTGGAGGGTAAGTATATCTACGTGCATCCTTGGCCAGTGTGCAAAGAGTAAGGATGATATTAGACCCTGGTGACCCTGTGGCTGATTCTGGGCAGCAGCGTCTAGGTTGCAGCTCAGAAGTCAGAGTTGATAGTTTTGTCAGGCAGGGGTGTTGTGGAGGAGTGTATCAGTGCTGAGCAGGTCTACGATGGACGGTAGAGCGGCAACTAGGCTGGCCTTAGAAGTCCAGAAGACATGGGAATTAAAGAGGAAAGTGAAGGTGTGAGTCATAAGCCAGCAGGCTTAGTATAACTAAGGATATATCTATATCAGAAATCAGGGCAAAGAGTGGGTCAGACAAAGGTGAACCATATAAAATGACTGAACCACAGTGGACCTTAAGGAGTATCTGGTTAACCAACCTTATTTTACAGATCAGAAAACAAAAGACCGAGGGGCCAATCGTTCCTCTGGTAGCGGTAGTTTTTTTTTTTTTTTTTTCCCATTTATTTATTTTATTGCATTTTACATTTTGGGGTACATGTGAAGAACATGCAAAATTGTTGCATAGGAACACACGTGGCAGTGTGATTTGCTGCCTTCCTCCCCATCACCTACATCTGGCATTTCTCCCCTTGCTATCTCTCCCCAGCTTCCCACCCCCCACCCTCCCTCCCCTATTTCCCCCCAACTGACCCCAGTGTGTAGTGCTCCCCTCCCTGTGTCCATGTGTTCTCATTGTTCAACACCCGCCTATGAGTGAGAACATGCGGTGTTTGATCTTCTGCTCTTCTGTCAGTTTGCTGAGAATGATGGTTTCCAGGTTCATCCATGTCCCTACAAAGGACCCAAACTCATCATTTCTGATGGCTGCATAATATTCCATGGTGTATATGTGCCACATTTTCCCTATCCAGTCTATCGTCGATGGGCATTTGGGTTGGTTCCAGGTCTTTGCTATTGTAAACAGTGCTGCAATGAACATTCGTGTACACGTGTCCTTATAGTAGAACGATTTGTAATCCTTTGGATATATACCCAGTAATGGGATTGCTGGGTCAAATGGAATTTCTATTTCTAGGTCCTTGAGGAATCGCCACACTGTCTTCCACAATGGTTGCACTAATTTACACTCCCACCAACAGTGCAAAAGTGTTCCTATTTCTCCACATCCTCTCCAGCATCTGTTTAAACATGACTACATGGCTTACATAGAGTGCCAGCGGTCTCTTCTTGCTCTTGTCTTCTTTGCCTCAATTCTGGACATGAGCAATAATTGAGATTCGTTTGCTCCAGGCAGATCCCAGGTGCCTTGAACAGAAAACAGCATTGTGAGTTGAGAAGAACAAGAAGGAAAACAGGAGGCACCTGGGCTCTGGGATTGACTTATGTTGAGTGGAAGGGGTCAGCCCTCCTTTGCTGCTTTCCAAGTTAGCCTGGTGTGGTAGAAGCAGATGGGAGACTTAAAGAAGAAGTAAAACTCCAAATCTAGGGCTGGGCAGTGGCTCACGCCTGTAATCCCAGCATTTAGGGACACCGAGGAGGCAGATCATGAGGTCAAGTGTTCGAGACAGCCTGCCAACATGATAAAACCCTGTCACTACTAAGAATACAAAAAAAAAAAAAAAAGAAAGAAAATTAGCTGGGCATGGTGGAATGTGCCTGTAATGCCAGCTACTCAGGAAGCTGAGGCAGGAGAATCACTTGAACCTGAGAGTTGGAGGTTGCAGTGAGCTGAGATCATGCCACTGCACTCCAGCCCGTAGAGCAAGGTTCCATCTCAAAACAAAAAACAAACAAACAAACAAAAAACTCCCCCAAACTCCAAATCTAGTGACAAAATGGTCCTGGCACAAGTCCAGTGGTCAAATCTCCATGTACGTTCTCTATCTTCCCATTTTACAAGGAATTCTCAGTGTGGCATGGTGAATATAACATAGGATTAGTACCAATAGACCTATCCTAACATTTCCAGCTGACTGCTCTTTGGAAGGTCATTAAATCACATTGAACATGAGTTTCAGTATAATTAGAATAATAATTTATATGAAAATGTTTTTTAGTACATGTTTTCAAGTTTCGGTTTCCTTAGCTATAAAATGAAAAGGATAATAATAGCTCTCTCAAAGGATGTTGAAATAATTCAATCAATGAATTCCTGGTAAAGCATTTAGTACGATGTCTAAAATATAGAAATCACTGAATAACAGCCATTATGTAATTATCCTATATTAGAACATGCCATACAAATGTTACGTCTATGTGGCCAAGACATCTGATTTAAATTTGATGAAAAACGGCATGTCATTTTTTTCTAGAACTTAACCATGTTTGCTTCTAGAATTTCAGTATGATTGTAGGCAATGCCACTGAGGCAGCTGTGTCATCCTTGGTGCGAAATCTTTCTGTCATCATTCGGCAAAGTCCATCAACCACAGTGGGGAATCTGGCTTCGGTGGTGTCGATTCTGGGCAATATTTCATCTCTGTCGCTGGCCAGCCATTTCAAGGTGTCCAATTCAACAATGGAGGTATGGTCTGCCAGTGCTTGAAGGGCTCACTTTAAATGCTTGATCTTGTAGGAAGAATGACAAAAAGCCTTAAAGATGGGGAACTGCTGGAAAAGACAGAAAGCCATCTAACAGTCCTCATATGAACTTTACTGCTTTCTCTGCAATATACAGGAAACTCATGGGATCAATAGTGTGAGTTCAAAGGAAGAAAGAGCTGCCCCTATGCAGTTTGCCTGGGCAGCACCTGTCTTAGAGAAGGGGATGAGCTGTTGCGCTATGTGACACAGGCACCAACTTTGCAACATTTTCATAGTCTATAATTTTTCTTTCCTGTAGCCACAAGTTCAGACTTGAACAGTGTATATTTTAAGAACCTCCCAGCCGGGCGCAGTAGCTCATGCCTGTAATCCCAGCACTTTGGGAGGCCGAGGTGGGCGGATCACCTGAGGTCAGGATTTCGAGACCAGCCTGGCCAACATGGAGAAACCCCGTCTCTATTCAAAATACAAAAAATTAGCCAGGCATTGTGGCAGTCGACTATAATTCCAGCTACTCAGGAGGCTGAGGCAGGAGAATCGCTTGAACCAGGGAGTGGGAGGTTGTAGTGAGCCGAGATCGTGCCACTGCACTCCAGCCTGGGTGACAGAGTGGGACTCTGTCTTAAAAACAAAACAAAACAACAACAACAACAAAAAATAGAACCCCCTTTGTAACACTTTCTCTCAACTGAGGAATTTATGGTTTAGTTTGTATATTTAAAGATTAACTTAAAAATTACATAAATGATACTTGGTCACTATAAGAAATGCTAATAAGCAAAAAGAAAAATAAATTCTGTAGCCTGGTCACTTTAAAATAGACACTGCTTACATTTTAGGTTTTGTCTCAGTGCCTAAAAGAATGAAAGTGATATATAGCATATGCTCAATAATCATTTGTTCAATAAATATCCTTCCAAGCATTTTGAGTGTATACAATTTATATATTAAAGGATATAATGTTTTACAAAATTGGATTATATAATGTATGTTAAATAAACACAATAATACTTAACTATATATGATGAAAATTGTTTCAGAAGTGACACTAAATATCAATAAGTTAAACTCCCTGAATTAAAGAAAAGATACTCCAATTTGTTTTTTTAGAAACCTGACCACATGTTGTTTACAAGAGCCAACAAAAATAAAATGACGCAAAAAGACTAAAAATAACATGAAGGGTGAAAACAAAGCGGGCAAACACAAAGCAAAAGAAAACAGAGGTTTCTAGGGACAGTAGAAGTAGAACATCATGGGATTCTGGGGCAAGAAGGCAGAGGGGGTTGGGTCAGGGTAAGGCTCAGCTGGAGTGACAGATGCTTACAGCAGAATGTCTGGGAGCCAGACCCATAAGCAAGAGAAGGGGTTCTGTGGGAAGAAGTAACAACTTTCAAGGAGTTGCTTGGAAAAGGAATCTCTCAAGCTAAGACTGACCCTTAAAGCCATGACAATTCAATGCCTGCGTCCCGGCTTCAAAGTTTTTTTTTTTTTTTTTTTTTTTTTCTTTATATAGTAGGAAACAAGAAACGTAAATACTTTAGTAAACAAGAAACCTGAAAATTTGAGCACCTCTTATGTGAGTTTTGAACTTCTGATGTTAGCAAAACAAACATAACATGGGAAAGCAGTACAAAGTAGTGTCTGCATCTTTGAGCCTCAGCCTGAATAGCAGTGCAGTCATTTTCCCATCTCAGGGAAGAGGAAATGCACATGTGCAGCCCAAATTGCAGGATGCTTTCTCATTTGTTCTGAAGTCCCAGTGTGCTTACACATGCTCTGGGGTGATCACCCTGGGACTTACTTGATTCTGCTGACCCAAGATTTTTGCCCAAAGCTTCTACTGTACAGAGGACCTGAGCTAAATTTAATTGATGTGTTTTAATGTGGTTCATAACTGAGCCAATTCTCTGGGCATTTTTCCTATACTTAATGCTAATGACTATCCACTCCTAGTCCTCGTTATCTGTTTACTCAAAAACACAAACTGACTTTCATCCTTGTATTTCAGGATGTCATCAACATAGCTGATCATATCCTTAGTTCAGCCTCAGTAACCAGTTGGACAGTCTTACTGCAGGAAGAAAAGCATGCCAGCTCACGGTTACTAGAGACATTGGAAAACATCAGCACCTTGGTGCCTCCAACAGCTCTTCCTCTGAATCTTTCTCGGAAATTCATTAACTGGAGAGGGATTCCAGTGACCAAAAGCCAACTGAAAAGGGGTTACAACTATCAGATTGAAATGTTTCCCCCAAATACATCTATTCCCATCAGAGGCCATGTGTTAATTGGGTCAGACCAATTCCAGAGATCCCTTCCAGAAACCATTATCAGCATGGCCTCGTTGACTCTGGGGAACGTTCTACCTATTTCCAAAAATGGAAATGCTCAGGTCAATGGACCTGTGATATCCACGGTTATTCAAAACTATTCCATAAGTGAAGTTTTCCTGATTTTTTCCAAGATAGAGTCAAACCTGAGCCAGCCTCACTGTGTGTTTTGGGATTTCAGTCATTTGCAGTGGAGCGATGCAGGCTGCCACCTAGTGAATGAAACTCCAGACACTGTGATGTGCCGATGTACTCACTTGACCTCCTTCTCCATGCTGATGTCACCGTTTGTCCCCACTACGATCCTTCCGGTTGTGAAATGCATCACCTACGTGGGACTGGGTATCTCCATTGGAAGTCTCATCTTATGCCTGATCATCGAGGCTCTGTTTTGGAAGCAGATTAAAAAAAGCCAGACCTCACACACACGTCATATTTGCATGATGAATGTAGCCCTGTCCCTGTTGATTGCTGATGTCTGGTTTATTGTTGGTGCCACAGTGGACACCACGGTGAACCCTTCTGGAGTCTGCACAGCTGCTGTGTTCTTTACACACTTCTTCTACCTGTCTTTGTTCTTCTGGATGCTCATGCTTGGCATCCTGCTGGCTTACCGGATCATTCTCGTGTTCCATCACATGGCCCGGCCTTTGATGATGGCTGTCGGATTCTGCCTGGGCTATGGGTGCCCTCTCATTATATCTGTCATCACCATTGCCGTCACACAGCCCAGCAATACCTACCAAAGGAAAGATGTGTGTTGGCTTAACTGGTCCAGTGGAAGCAAACCACTCCTGGCTTTCGTTATCCCTGCACTGGCTATTGTGGCTGTGAACTTCCTTGTGGTGCTGCTAGTTCTCACAAAGCTCTGGAGGCCAGCTGTTGGGGAGAGACTGAGTCAGGATGACAAGGCCACCGTCGTCCGCATGGGGAAAAGCCTCCTCGTTCTGACTCCTCTGCTAGGGCTCACCTGGGGCTTTGGAATAGGAACAATAGTGGACAGCCAGAATCCGGCTTGGCATGTTGTTTTTGCTTTACTCAATGCATTCCAGGTGAGAACAATAACAATAACCTATTATATTGTCAGGTAATTGGAATAAGTAGAGAACTCAGGTTGGTAAAACCACTCCGGAGATTATCTCATCTCCCTGCCTCCATCAAGACCATCACAAAAACTGATGGAAAGAATGAATAGAAAAAAATATTTTTCTTAGTTACTGTCATACTGAAGCAGAATATGGGATTTCCTCAGTAACCCATTACAGGGCTTTAAATCTATTAGAGTTCTTACAGCAAACAATCCCTCTTGCTGCTGACTCAGTTCTCTTTCTCTTATGCAGACCTCTGGGAAAAAATAAACAGAGAAAAGGAAATACATGATAAGTACTTGTTGACTCTGTATAGCGCAAAGAAATTTTCTAGGGTTCAATACAGAAGGGGCTAGCAAAATGCAACTAGTACGCTGTTTTTGTAAATAAAGTTTTATTGGACTGCAGCCATGCTTATTCATGTGCAGATGGCCCATGGCTGCTTTCACGACAATGGCAGAGTTGAGTAGTTGCAACAGAAACCGTATAGCCTGCAAAGCCTAAAGTACTTACAGCCTGGCTGATCACAGAAAAAGTTTGCTAACCTTTGCTACAAAGAATGGGTTTTTCCTTGCCACAGTCAGGAAGTGTTCAGAGAGGAGGTGGACAAAGCAATCATTAGATTTTGATAAATCTGGAAGAGCCTTCAATCCCAGTTCAGTGAAGGTTTTGCTGGACCACCTCAGACAATGACTCAGGCAAGTGGTGGTTAAACATTTGATCTCTGGAGTTAAATAGCTCTGGGCTCAAATACATCACTTTATGACTGTGTGACCTCTAGCACGTTGCTTAATCTCTCTGTCCCTCAATTCTCTCACCTTTTAAATAGAGAATAATGCTTGTATCATTGAATAAATGTGAGGGTTAAATGAGATAATTTAGCATCTGTCACATTGTCCGGCAATTTTCATATAACAAATGCTCAATAGGTGTTTCCCAAAAGTAATTGGTTCTCCATCTATTCAGCAACCAGTGAACAGTCAGGTGCTAGTATGGATGGCAATCATAGAGCATGCTCCCTAGTGGTGACAAGTTTAGGAAGCTCCTGTTGGGGAGCAGGAATACAGTCTCACTGTGATACACTGTCTGAACACGCACCAACCAAAGGAGCAATGCCTGGGGGAGAATTCAAGGTGCGCCAAAACATTTACCAAGCGTTCCCCAAGACCTGCACTGGAAGGAAAGGATGCTGAAATAGGTCAAATCCCTCCACTGGGCCACATGATTGGATCTCTGTGCCTGCCGCCATCATAGGTGCTTAGTAGACATTAAATGTCTGGTCTAAAGAAAGACTAAGATACAGACACGATAGAATGCTATTTGTTTTGGGTTGGGATGCTACAATAGGGGAGAATGCAGCTCCACATGCAAAACTTCATTCACTTGGTCATTTGCTTATTTATACATCAACACAAAAAATTTTTTTTGAGTACTTTGCATTGTGCCATGCACTTGTGGAGACCACACAGTGTTCTTGCTTTCAAGGAGCTTACAGTCTCTTAGAGAGACAGACAAGAAAACAGTTTCAACATGGGGTGATTGAATAGTGTTACATAAAAATGCTTTCTCTTCTGGAAAAGAAAAATACAACACATGTGATTTATTCCTTTTTTTTTTTAAAGGGATTTTTTATCTTATGCTTCGGAATACTCTTGGATAGTAAGGTATGTATATTTATTTCTCTCTTTAACCCCCATCCCACACATCTTAAGGCTCATTCCCTTTGTTCTGAGGACTTTATTCATGTAATAAGAGATTGGACTATGGTACTTTTGTAATAAAATTCTGTGCTTTTAGAGAAGTCAGGCTCAGTCAGAAGACAAAGGAACTAAACAGTCACTGTTGATAAAACTGTACAGAACTAATCAAGCACATAATGTAAACATTGTCAGAAAAAAAGAGCAATTCTTTTTACCTTTAACTTTTCTAATTTAAATTATGGTATGGCAGTAATTCCAGAGCAAAATTACTTTCCTAAGAGGTGAATTCTCCTTTGTTCTTTTAGTCTGCTCATTTATTTAGAATATGCTGAAAGAGATATCAATGTATATATTTGTAGAGCTTTAAACAGTAAATATTAAACAGCCCCTCACAGACTATTATTATTATTTTATTTTTTTATTTTTTGAGATGGTGTCTTGCTCTGTCACCAGGCCGGAGTGCAGTGGCGCAATCTTGGCTCACTGCAATCTCCGCCTCCTTGGTTCAAGCGATTCTTCTGCCTCAGCCTCCCGAGTAGTTGGGACCACAGGCACGTGCCACCACGCCTGGCTAATTTTTTTTTGTATGTTTAGTAGAGACGGGGTTTCACCGTGCTGGCTAGGATGGTCTCGATCTCTTGACTTCGTGATCCGCCTGCCTCAGCCTCCCAAAGTGCTGGGTTTACAGGCATGAGCCACCATGTCCGGCCCAGACTATTATTCTAACTGAAGTAACTCAGGAATGGAAAACCAAACATCGTGTTTTTTCACTTATAAGTGGGAGCTAAGCTTTGAAGATGTAAAGACATAAAAATGACACAATGAAACTTGGGGACTCAGTGGGGAAGAGTGGGAAAGGGGTGAGGAATAAAAGACTACAAATTAGGTGCAGTATATACTGCTCAGGTGATGGGTGCATCAAAATCTCACAAATCACACTAAAGAGCTTACTCATGTAACCAAATACCACCTGTTCCTCAATAACCTATGAAAATAAAAAAATTTAAAAAATAAGGCATATGTGGAAGAAAAACAAATAAATAGCCTCTCACATTAAATACAATTCCTAGTGAAGAATAATGAGTTTAAGTAAAAGATAATAGAAAAAAATTTTAAATACGCTTGCTTCATAAACCCAAGCATTAAACAATTCTGTTGGGTGGGGTGAAGGCAGTAAGCTAATGGACAAACAGTCTTTGTTTTAATAAGAAAATAAAGATATTTTATAATTGGCAGAATTGTTGCTAATTACAGTAACAATTCTGCACATGAACAAATCCCATCTACAAAGAAGCAATTTGCTCTTCTTAATTGTACTAAATAATTAATAATTTCCTTGTCTGTATCATTCATGTGATTAGGAAACCCTTCACTTCAAAGATATACCTCAATTTAGTAGTTATTGCCAACTACTAATTCTAAAATCTGAATGAGTATGGCATTTGGTACTTTCGTTCTTTGTTTAATTCTAGTTTTGTTTATGGGTTAAGAGACAAAGAGAATAATCTTTCTACCAGATACCCATTTAATCTACTAAATGCTTCTAGGAAATAATACTATTAAATGACCATTTCAACCTGCAGTCGTTCTCGTCTGTGTATGATTGTATGTGTATCTCCTCAATATTTCTTTGTTGCCCTTATAGCTGCGACAACTTCTGTTCAACAAGTTGTCTGCCTTAAGTTCTTGGAAGCAAACAGCAAAGGTAATTATCTCCTACTGCCATGAATCCAATGCATGAAGTTCCAGTTTTGCATTTTTCTTTTTATACAGTCTTGCTGCAAGCCAACTTCTGTGTAAACCCCTTGAATTTCTTTTACTGTTATATTCCTGGTATCTGACATGCAGCCTGACACATGAGCGATAGTAAAGAGTTGTTGAGTGAATGGGTGATTAAATGAATGACTGTGAAGTCACGGCAACTTACAAGGATGCTCAAGCATGGAGATCTGTGGGCGCTTGTGAGTGAATACCTTTGAACAAAGGCATTTGCTTTAGTCTGACTTGCTTGTCAGCGTTTAGAACTAGCAAGGCTCTTTTCTTCATCTGACTTGCTGAACCTTCTGTAAACCATTTTTTCGTTCTCTGGAAAGGTAAAGGGGGAGATCTTGGTTAAATTCTTTCTTTAAATTTGGTTAACTTCTAATATATGAAATTATTAGGTGTTAATAATTTTCTTTTTTAAGCTAGTATCACCGACTCTGTTCTGTGCAATCTTAGCTCTTAAGTCTACAAAAATGACAAGTTTTTAAGGAAATGGAGGATTTCTGTTTTATTCTTTGCCATAAAAGTATAATCCATATGAGGACAGTATATTTAGAAACAAAAGTACTTGAACACATATTTTGTGTTTTCAATGTTTTTTAGACTTTTGTTTTTCAGCAACGCACTGAGGGCCTTTCAGAAAGAGTTCTAAGGCAGAGGATTTCTGTATTTTATAAAAGTCAACTGGCTTAACTGCATCCAAACCTATATGGGTGTTTAGAGATTTTTACAAGTGATAATAGAGCCTTTTGAAATAAAAATCAATAAGGAAATGATCCTCTGGCATTAAAAAATCTTCCTTGGTCTGCATTTTATAGTAGACAGCACTGCTGTGAATTAGGGAGCACTGGCCCATAAGCAGGTGAAGCAGACCTGCCCTTATATTTCTGACCCTGTAACCAGTTGGCTTTGTGATCTTAGGAAGTCACTTCATCTCTAAGTTTCAATTTTCTCAACTGTAGAAATTAAATGTTGGACTAGTTATTCAAAGCAGAAGTTCTTACATTCTGGGATTTAGATTTTATGTCTGGAAGAACTAAAAATCCCTCAAACCAGAAGTTGTGAAACTAATGAGTCACTATCTACACTTAAGAAAAGGAGAAAACTACAGCACATGTGACTATATCAAAGAAAAACCTTTAATGAATATCATGAGACAGGACACTCCCCACCCTACAAAGCAGAAAGTCAACATTTTTCTCTTTTGAAAACCAAAGAAAGAAAAATACCCCCAAGTAAAATAAAACAAAAGCAAAAGCAAGAATGCCTGACGGTTTCTCTCTGTTTCTAATATCAAGTGCTGACACTTCTCAGAAGGCAGCACTGGTCAGTGAGGGCTTTGCTGTGTCTGTATCTGTACCTTCTCCTGAATTTCATTTCCAGATTCGGTGATAAAAATGAGATTTTGTTTCTGGTTAGGTGGTTCATTTGCTTTAAAATAAATATACATTTTTTCCAGAAGAAAAGATGTGCATTTATAATTTTTTTACAGAGTTTGAATGAAAAAGCAGGACCCCAAGGACCCCAGATGACTGATGATGAACAGGTGAGAAAGAGATAACACTTGATGAATATTCCTGCCAAGAAACTCACTTGTGAGCAAAATTAGTGAGGGTGGTAACCAGAAGTAGACCCAGGACAGTAGTAACAGGCTAGAGTTGAAGTTGCTAGGATGTGACAAGTTCATATGTTGGGAGGGGTGATTCAGTGAAGAGAGAGTCTAAAAACAAGTGAGGGAGAGAGGATAATGGGCAGAAGATGACTCCTGGGAAGACAGAGGGAGTGGCTAGATTCAAGATGGAGGGATTAGCTCCTTAGCTTGGCACAGGAAGTACCACACTGATGCAGGAGGAACAACATGGAGAGATTGGGGTTGTAAATGAAAAAGTATCTGAGACAGGTCTCAATCAATTTAGAAGTTTATTTGCCAAGCTTGAGGATCATGAGCCATGAAAGAGCCTCAGGAGGTCCTGAGAATGTGTGCCCAAGATGGTTGGATTACAGCTTGAATGTACACATTTTAGGGAGACATAAGACATCAGTCAGTACATGTGAGGTATGTATTGATTTGGTCTGGAAAGATGGGACAATTCTAAGTGGGGGCAGGAGGGCTTCTAGGTCATAGGTGGATTCAAAGATTTTCTCATTGGCAGTTGGTTGAAAGGGTTAAGTTATTACCTAAAGACCTGGAATCAATAGAAAGGAGTTCCTGGGTTAAGCTGAGGCGTTGTGTAGACCAAGGTTCTTTTTATGTAGATGAAGTCTTATAGGTAGGTACACTTTGATGCAAGAGATGTTTTCTATCCAGACCTTTTAAAGGGTGCTAGACCCTCAGCTAATCTCTCCAGGATCAGAAAAAGATCTGGAAAGGGAAGGGAATGTTCCTCAGAATATAAATTTCTCCCACAAGAGACAGCTTTACAGGGAGGGCCATTTAAAAATATGTCAAATAAATATATTTTGCAGTAAAATACTTTGATTTCTTTCAGGGCCTACTATCTATCATATGATGCTATCTAGAGTTTGGATGGAATTTGGTATCTTACTGCTACAGAGTATGTTCAGTCAGTCTTAATATCTCAGTTTTGTGCCTGAGCTTCAAAGGGAGGAGAGCATAATGAAACATGTCTGACCCCTGCTTCCCATCATGACCTCAACTAGTTTTTCAGGTTTCTTTGAAATCTCCTTGGCTGAGAGGGGGATCCATTCAGTTGGCTGTGGGGCTTAGAATTTTATTTTTGGTTTATAGGGTCATGATGTTGAGAGTTCGAACCTTGATACTTTTTTGTTTTCTTAAGTAGGGGACAAGGCTATCCACTGAGAGACAGCTAAAGGAGGGATAAAATAGGGATCTTGAACAGAGCAGTGACTATGACAGCTGGTTGAAGGGAATGAAAGAGGAGCCAGCAACAGTCTCTGCAAGGATCATCCTTCAAGCCACAGCACATTGTGTGGACCCCAAAGCCTCTCCATGCTCAGGTCCCTGTCTTGACCCTCCATTGTCCCTATCCATGTTTTCTGTAACTCTTCTCCAAGACACAGACTCTGGTGGCCTCGACAGACCCCTGCCCCTCCACAAAGAATAGATTTACAGACCTACATCTGAGTTCTAGTAACTCAGGGTCTATTACTTGGCCAACTGCTTAGACCCATTTTAACTTCACACACCGGAGGAGGCTGCTTCTTCCCAGACCACGGGGAAGCATGTTGAGTATGTTACAACCTGAGATTTCTGTCTCCAAATGGTACAGGATACAGTTTTAAGTGCCATGAACCCTGACCTTAGGATTTTTTTTTTTAGGGTTATAGCATTATATGTTTGCTGAGCCCTGAATTCTAGAAAATTATTTATTTTGCTTTGAAATTTCAAATCTTTTTTATTCTTATTTTTGTAAGGTTTTTTTTTTTTTTTTTTTCCCAGAGCTCAGTATGGCTTAATACCAGCGAAAATTCAGAACCACCCCTGGTCTACCTACTGCATATAATAAGAACCTGTTTCTCTCACCTTGATTTGCTTCATTTGTGGCATACACTGTAGCAGGGAATGGAACTTATTCCAATATACCCAGTGCCTAGAACAGTATCTGGCACACAAAGGCATTCAATATAAGATGGTAAATTAATGGACAAATGAGTGATAAACTAATGAATGGAAAAATATATATTTATTTTTTAACAAAAATAAATATATATTTAAAAATATATATTTAATTTGATAATTCAGCTTTTAAATTATTAAACTCTATATAGCCTCTGTAGCAGTGACTAAAGTGTCATTCACAAATAGGTTTGAGAGCTAAGATGATCAAAGGTAAAGCAAAGCTTTATTGGGAACCATTTTTAGTAGGAACACTATTTTTCCTCCTTTCTCCTCCAATGGGTTTCTCTTCTAGTAACAAATGTGAACCAAAGAAATGCAAGCATAGACATGAAAAGGGATAATGATGCCTTTAAAACTGTTTTCCAGTTTGTTGTTAGAAGTTGTAAAAATATACAGGAACACAAAATTCAGTTGGGAATAAATTTTTAGGCATTTTAAATAGATTAAAATAGAAGAAAGAGTGAGAAAGTAGCCCCTCTAAATTTTTGAAAAAAGAATAACACCTCTGAAAATGGAATAAAGAATTGCGAATGACATCAGGAAGTTAGGAAATGCAGATCAACAGTAAAAGAATACTGCTCATGTCCAAATGATGCATTTTTCTTTTGTGCAGCGAAACTCATCAGATTTATCTGCCAAACTCAAATTCTCAAAGCCTTTCAACCCATTGCAAAACAAAGGTGAGTTACAATAAAACCGAAGGTTATAAAAGGTGTGAAAAGGGAGTATATCATATGAAGAAAATTTAATGGCAACATCTAAGAAACTCATGTGAGAAGCGTGGGATTATCAGCCAGCCAGTTCAGAGTTCATCCGGACTGTGCTCAATGTTGACCAAACAACGTAGGCGACTTGATGCTCATGGAGAACCAGAGTTTTTTACATGTGATTTCATCACAAATTATCTCTAGCCAGATGTTATGTAAACCTGTGGCATTGATCATTGAGGCCCTGAGGGGAAGAAGTGTGGTGAGACTAACACCAAAAAAACATTTCTCTTTCAAATTTTCCAGTTGAATTTTATGTTTGCGTTTGCTTTTTAGGTTTCATCACTTAACATTGAAAGTTAATCAGAAATAAAATAAAAACTTCCATTTCAGATCGCTTTGTACCAATATCAGAAAGTACAATAATGTGTCCTTACTGGAGAATCACCCATCTCGTGCCAGCTGCTGAGCAGTGGACATGTAGCCAGGTGTTTGTGCCCTGATGTTGCACATGTCCTCCTCCCTAAAATGCCCCTGGGCAGGAAGGGGCCACACCTGCTAAGAGGGAAAGAGCACTGTCTCCTCCACCTGTGACATGCATTGGCCCTATGTTCATTGATTGGCGGTTACTAAAGTCTATGCTATTCAGCAGCTGCAAGACCAGTATTTAAGCATTGCAAATAGTCACAGTGTTCTTGGAGAAGAGAGAAGGATGGAGCATGGAAGTAGAGGAGGAGACATTGCCTTACAAGTTAAGTTGAAGTCATACATAAGATCAAGTCCCATTTCACTTTCAGTTATGTTAATGTCATAGTTAATGTAGGAAAATGGGAAACTCATTTTATATTCCCATGAAAATTATTTAAATTCCAGATAAAGTTCAAGTATCTGGAGAATGTGCTCATCCAGGACACTTGGGTTCCATTGTCATTGTCCCCAGTCAGCTTGAGTGCTTTTTATATGTCTCTATGTTTGGGGGACATTTGTTCCTCACATAAAAAAAAGAAGCTAAGAGATTACTAAGATTCTTCCAGCAATAACATACTGTGATCTCAATCTACTTTGTGTCATTTCCCAGCAATATTTGAAAAACATGGTATTTTGTAAATAAGAGATACTTGACAAATGCAAGCTTCTAGGGTGTCAGTGAAATGCTATTCCTCTCCACCAACATTTTTTTGTCTTTCCCTAGACAAACTTTTAAAACTGCTCCTAGTTGTAAAAAAAAAAAAAAAAAAAAAAATCCACATGCTAATTTTCATTTTGGTCTCATGCTTGGTTCCAACAGAGTAGCAATAATTATTATCATTTTTTTCCTCTTCAGGCCGTTATGCATTTTCTCATACTGAAGAGTCTTCCAATGACATCATGCTAACTCAGTTTTTCTCAACTGAATAAGCAAGGAACCATAAAATCAAGAAAAACATTTCAAAATAACTTGACATTTAAAGATAAATGCCAATGAAGAAATTATGCTCAGTATTAGATTGGGTTTTCTGATTTAGGAGTCTGGGAATAAAACAAGAATGTCTCAGTGGCTTAATCGCTATTCCCTTTTGTCTTCAATTAAATGAAAAGAAGATTTATTTCCATGTGATTTGATTCAAAGAAAGTGCTCCATAAATGCAGAACAGTGGGTTTTGTTGGAGATTGTGTACCTTGACCACAAAATATGGTTTCTATTTCATAAAACAGCATTATTCACTTGGCATCTCCAATCATCTGGGTTGGAGTAAGAAAATTTTATGAAAAAGTTTTAGGTAAATTAATAGGCCATGTTCATTTTCTTGTTAAAAAGTTATTTGTGGGGGAAGGTGGGAAAAAGTTATTAGTGAAAATTTCCAAAAGATAAAAACATTTCTCATTCAAATTTTCCAGTTGAATTTTATGTTTGCTTTTGCTTTTTAGGTTTCATCACTTAACATTGAAAGTTAATCAGAAATAAAATAAAAGCTTCCATTTCAGATAGCTTTGTAACAATATCAGAAAATATAATAATGTGATGATATGTAATGTGGCATTTTTCATTTTTCATTTTTACAAGGCACTTTCATCTGGTCCCCAGCCCTGCAAAGTACACTGTCAAGGCAGACCTAGTGTAGAGAGGAGGGCACGGGGGCTCAGAGAGGTAAAGTGACTTGCCAAAGATTTTGAAGTCAGTTAAGGGGAATTGGAGATTTTTAGGACTTTTGTCTTCCAGACCATTTCTATAGCCCATAAAAGACTTGACAATTACCTACAGCCCAATAAATCTTTATGAGGTCAGTTATACAGTTCACCACTCACAGAATTCTATGTAATAGAGAAATTAAGAGAGATTTTGACTGTGAACTTTCAGGGAGATACCTTAAAACATCCTTATTTTCTTTCATAATACACTGTAGGCACTTTGTGGAAGTTATTTTCTTATATAGCCAGTGCCACTTTTGGATGACATACAGAGCAGCAGGTGAGTTGATACAATATGAAGCAACACTTCTCTTCCATATTTCCATCACATTTGGCTCACCTACCTGAGTTTCAGCCCTGACCATAGTGCCCAGAGGAACCCAAACCTTCGATTCATGCTTGCAGTTTCGAGAGACTTAAGGAGTGTCTCTTAGCCTCCTGACATGGAAAGCCTTCATGCTATGCAAATAAAGACAGCTGGGGGAATTTCTAATTAATGATGGTGGATTAAATAAGCATGCCGAACAGAAATTCAAAGTTAGATTTTCACAAGGCACCAAGGTGCAGCACGCATGAAATACGAAAGTGAGATGTTCAAAGGAAATGACTGAAGACCAGTTACATGGTTCTATGCCCCACAAATATATATAAAAGTCAACAGAGAATTTTATGAGAAAGATTTCCTTGTAGAAAACTGATCTCTGAGCCTTCTCTCTCTACCCCCAAAAGTGAGAGAAGGAGGAATGTCTGCTTCTTGACCTCAAATATAGTGAGAGAGGATTTTTCAGGTAGCTTCCTATGGAACCACAACAATTAGAGGGCATGGCTGATGGAAATCTGATTCTTGCCTAGGACTGTGGCCGCAGCTCTGGTAGCAGAGCCCTGAATGGGTTGTGTGTTGAGATTAGCCTGTAAATCTAGTGTTTGTCAGGGCAATGGATGTGTGTGTTTCCCATGAACCATGGTGAAACAGGCAAGAATGAAGGTCCTCTTTTAGGTCCTGTCTGATAGGGTTGTCCAAAGAGGTGGAGGGAACCCAGCATCAAGAAGTGGGAAGTGAAGCCAGATTGTGGGATGAGGAAGGAGTCACAAATAACCATCTGAAACACAATAGAATTTGCACAGGCTGAAGGTGAGAAGTCAGGGCTATGAGAATTTCCATGGGAGTTCTTAAATGCTCCCTCCTCTCATTATACACAATTACTCTCCACAGAACCCTGACACCATGTGAAGTCGTCCCTATCTTATAAGATACATTTTTTTTCTGGCGCTTTGGTGAAGGGGAGGCCAGAAATGTCAGTGCCCAAAGTGGGGTGGAAGGAGAGGTAGAAAAACTTAGCAAAATGTCAACCAGCAAAGGGAGATGTGCTAGTGCAAGCAGGCAACCCAACACGAGACTCAGTTGCGGAGGGAAAAAAATCTAGTACTAAATTATTGTAGTTTGTTATTATTATTGAAGACTAGGCATCATAAGTACAAAACTATTTAAAATCACCAAAATGTTGCTATTACTTGAGTATGTGGGAGTATAACTGGAGTGTATCTGATGGAAGGAAAATCTTCTTCCACTGAATAAATTTTATGAGGATGATGAGAAACAAAAAAAGTGTGTTTGATCAAATATGTATGTATGTGCATGCTTATCTAATTCACCGATTACAGATACATTCACCTCAAAATGCTACTAAAACAACAATAAAACCACCAAAAAAGTGAATGACATTGTAATAATTTTCTATTGCTGTGTTTTCTATTATAATAGTTTATTCCATTCTATTATAGTAGTTTTCTATTGCTGCATGTAAAATTGCCACAAACTCAGCAGCTTAAAGCAACACACATTTATTATCTCAAAGTGGTCGTAGGCAGATTCCATGCACAGCTAAGCTTGTCCTTTGCTCAGGGTTACACAAGGCCATCATCAAGGTGCTGGCTGGGCTGTCATGTCATGTGGAGGCTCAGGTGGGGAAGAATTCACTTCCAACTCATTCGAGCTGTTGGCAAAATTCGTTCCCTTGTGGTTGTGGGAATGAGAATGGTGGCTTTTTGCTTACTACTGGCTAGAGTCCATCTTCAGACCCTAGAGGCCACCTATATTTTTTTGCCAAATGGGCTTCTCCAGCTTGGCCACTTACAACATTAAGCCTGCAAGGAGAGTCTCTGACTCCAGTCTGCTTTTCAGGCAGAGTCTTGTATAATGTAAGATGATTAGGAGAGTGACAACTCATAACTTTTGGCATATTTCACAGATTAGAAGCAAGTCATAGGCCCTGTCCACAGTCGAGGGGAGGGCATTTCAAAAGGTGTGAACACCAGGTGGGAGGGATCACTGGAGGTCATGGACATGAAATTCCAAAGATAGGGAATGAGAGAGGAGATAATGGCAACACAACTTTGGAAAGCAGGTGGGGTGGTGTGAACTGATTTGGAAGACCTGAAAATGTTAAATTTTAAGCCAGTAGTAAGGAAAAACAAGAAGCAACCTACTTTACACTGCAGAATCCCCCCAAAGACTCAACAGTTGGCAGAACCAGGTACCTTAAGAAGTGGGTGAATATGGGACTGAATAGTAAAGTTGGTTCAATTTCAATTTAGGAAGGAGCTGGGGCCCCCAAGTACCTCTCTAATCCCAAGTAGCCAAGCAAATGTCCATCCTACTAATAGATTGTATACAGATGTGGGACAAGATGGGATATAGGAATTGAGAGGCACCAGAATCAGATGGGAAAAGATTTCCCATACTGAAAACAAAAGATTTAGTGAAAGTTAACATATAACACTGGCAGCAAGTCTTTCGTTTTTAAGGCAAGAGTCTTGTATTAGTCCATTCTCATGCTGTTGATAAACACATACCTAAGACTGGGTAATTTATTTAAAAAAAAAAAAAGATTTAATCGGCTCACAGTTTCATATGACTCGGAAGTCCTCACAATCATTTTGGAAGATAAAAGAGGAGTAAAGGAACTTTTTACATGGCAGTGGGCAAGGGAGGGAATGAAAATTAAGTGAAAGAGGGTTCCCCTTGTAAAGCCATCAAGTCTCATTAGACCTACTCACTACCACGAGAACGGTATGGAGGAAACTGCCCCCATCATTCAGTTATCTCCCACTGGGTTCCTCCCACAACATGTGGGAATTATGGGAGCTACAATTTAAGATGAGATTTGGGTGGGGACACAGCCAAACCATGTCAAGTCTGAGCAGGCATCTCTGGAGAATCTGATTATAACAGAAGGAAACACTGAAGATACCGACTTTGAATATTTGATAAGAATATATTTTTCCAGATAATCACCCTATAGGAAGGCTAAGAGTCATCATACCTCACCTCATACACAGACCATCCAACCATCAAATCAGCTTTTTAGTGTCTCAGTCTGAAATATAAGCAAACAGTCTAGGATCCTTAGGTACTCTACAAAAGCTTCCAGTATTAAATGCAGAGGCCAAAAAGAAACAAAAGGCAGAGAGAGGCAATGTGTTCTCACCTTGAGTCCTGTGGTATAAGCTCACCTAGAACAATGAAGAAACAAACAGAAAAACACAAATTAGGAGAAAAAACCATACTAGAAGAAGAGACTTAAGAGACAATCAATTTCACCCTCAAGTAGGATATTGCCTCTATAAATAGAGTGTTATAACAAGAAATACACAGACAACAAAACGCTATCTTTGAAATTTAAAACATCATAAATAAAATGCTTCAATAGAAGGATTGGAAGATAAAGTTGAGGAAATGATCCAGAAAGTAGTATTAAAGAAAAATAGATGCAAATTAGAGAAGAGATTAGAAGGCAAGGCCAAGAGTTTCAAAATTTGAATAGATTTCGCAGAAAAAAAGAGGAAAGAAGCAGAAGGAAGGGCATTAAAGAAATAAATGGAGAAAAAATGTTGATCAATAAGAAACATGAGTTTCTCTATTGAAATTGTCCATCAAATTCTCAGTAGGATGGATGAAAGTAGAACCATAGTTGGACACATCATTGCAAAATTTCAGATCACAGGAGACAAAAAGCAGATCTGAACACTTTCAGAAAGGAAAAAAACCAACAGGTTTTATACAAAGGGTCAAACACCAGAATATTATAGAATTCTCCACAGCAATATATAACCTAGAAAATAATGGGGAATACCTTCAAAATGTTGAGGAGAAATGATTGCAACCTAGAAGGAACTAAATGTGAAGAAGGATAAAGATATTTTTATGTATGGAATTTTTCAATAGATTTCCTTCCAATGCTTCCTTTCCTCAGAACTGTTGAGGAATGTGCCATGCCATAGGTGGAAGTAAATCCAGAGGGATGAAGACATGGCCCCATGAAAACAAAGGATGCAATAGAAGAGGTAGCAGAGGAAACAGAACCTTCCTGATGAGGATAAAGGGAACTTCCCCGTCAGCAGCTACAGGACAGATCAAGGCTAGATCTTCAGAAAAGATTGCTCAGAAAAAGAAAACAGTTGGATACCTAAAGCATCTGAGTGTTATTTAGAAGAAGTTTACTTACTGGGGAAGGAGAATTAGGGGATGAATTTTGATTAGAACAGATATATTCAAGCAAATTAAAAGAAAAGAATATAACATCTAACAGAAACAAAAACAAAAATAAAAAACCAAGCATACTACCTAGCTCAGCTATGAGTAGAATATAAACAATCTTAATAATGTGAAATGCTTTTGATATAACCAAACTAATAACAATATAACTCTATTGAGAAGGTGGAGACTAGGATGTGTTTTGGTTGGAGAGAGGATGGCAAAAGAGATCTAAATAAAGCTTGTTCAACCCTCTGCCTGTAGGGTACATGTGGCCAAGGACGGCTTTGAAAGTAGTCCAACATAAATTCATAAACTTTCTTAAAACATTGTTTCTTTGTTTTGTTTTGTTTTGTTTTTTAGCTCATCAGCTATCATTAGTGCTAGTGTATTTTATGTAAGGTCCAAGACAATTCTCTTTATTCCAGTGTGGCCCAGGGAAGCTGAAAGATTGAAAACCTGTGATAAATCTTCATGTTTGTTTTTGTAAATCAATAAAAGTGAGAAACCAAGAAAGTAGTATTATTATCATGTTATTTAGAAATATGTGAAAAATACCCAAAGAATCAGCTAAATCGGTTAAAAATGTCTCTGAGAAGCAGGGAATCATAGAGTTATTTGACTTTTAAAACCATATCCAAATAACTTGATTAAACATGAATAAAGAGTGTGTGTGTGTGTGTGTGTGTGTGTGTGTGTGTGTGTGTGTGTGTGGTGTAAATTGAAGAAAATATTCAGGACACCCTAAAATTAGAAGTCATTTTGAATCATTTGCTTGCACATTGTGGAGGCCACAATGCTCTCCACGCTTATGTGGCATTGGTCAGCAGCTTCAAGTCTTTGAGCTGCCTATGAGATATCAATTTATGATGTCAAGTGGGTCACTGGGTATATTAACCCATTGTTCAAGGGAAGGTCTGGCTGGAGATGCATTCCTGGGGCCATCAGCATAGAGATGGTGCCTAAAGCCATGAGACCAGATGAGATCACCTAGCAGGGACTGGTTGAGAAGTGAGGAGGTCCTTGGAGTATCCCATCATTTAGAGAAAGGGAGAGGAGAGGAGGAGAATTCAGTAAGGGGTGTGAGAAGGAACACCCTTGTGAGGTAGAAGGAAAACCAGGAGAATGTTATGTCCCAGAAGCTCAGAGAAACATTTCAAGAAGGTTTCTAAGACAGCAATTGCTAAATCCTGCTGAGAGAATCAAGGAAGATGAGGGCCCTGACTTGACTATTTGAGTTTGAAACATGAAAATCATTGGTGTATTGATATAATAGGCCCTCAGAGTAAGAAATTCCACTGTCAGGAAATTTCACGTAGAACTCATGTTTAGACTTTGCATAGCCCTATATTGAATAAGCTATTCCAGATGTGTAAATAACTATTTTAGAAAGATTAATTTTCTCCATTTCTCTTATGCTTGCAGAATGAATGAAGGGGCTAACAGATGGTCACTCTGTAGTGCGCAGTGTTTATCAGACTAATGCAGATGTCAGGAAAAGTCCCATTCTGTTTCCTTCCAAGTGGTTCTTATATGGAAAGACAATTTGCATTTTGTAAGAGGGCAGCAGGCCTATACTGTATTTACCCTCATAAAACTTCAGGGGGCAGGCTGTGACCAAGAAATAAATCCTCAACAACTTTAAAACTTAAAGACATCTGAAATTCACTCTCAAATTTGAGAGTGCAAAAAGCGTTTTAATCTCACCTGTCTAATTAGGAGCAGTCTGCATTGTTGCTGTTTTGGTTTGTAGAATAAAAGAGATTAGGGATCTATGACTATAATAGCTCTGTTTTCTGATGGCAAACAATGCCTCCGTTTCCTGGGTTTATGCCCAAGTGTGCTGGTAAACACTGAAGGCTGCTTTAAGCAAAGCGGGAATTAGCCACGGGTGGCATGGGACTTTCACCTGCTAGGAAAACAGTGTTATTTATTTTTAAAATATTTGAGTCATATCAATGGGTACCTTGAGCAAAACAGAGTTAACTCAAATATGTGGTTTGAAAAAAGATTAGAAGTATTCTGCGCTTTTTGGATTCATTTCTTACTTGGAGAAGAAATAGTCTGGAAAATGTTAAATAGTTTTGTCAGCCTAGAGCCACACTTCCGTGGATGGATTACACACAACTGTCTACAGACTCCACTTTGTAAGCAAGGTCTTATGGTGGAGCGAGCAAAATAAAA